AGAAAATAAGATGTGCAGGTGAGAAGAACAGAGCAGTGCATTCAAGGAGAGAGGGAGAGAGGGAGGGAGGGAGGGAGGGAGGGAGGGAGGGAGGGAGGGAGAGAGGGAGGGAGGGATGGAGGGATGGATGGATGGAAGGAGGGAGGGAGAAAGGTTGTCGGCAATCAGCTTAACTCCATGAGTAAAATTCTCACTCACGGAACTGATATTTTGCCACCAGACCAGACAGCAGGAGAGCAAGCAACACAACAAGATTGCCGGTTGCTCCTCTCCTCCTCTCCTCTGATCAATCTTTGCAACTTTGTAGGACACGCACAGAATTTCAAGATGCGCGGCCTGTTCAAGATGCAAGCTCTCTGGGACACAACAAAGAACAGAAACATGGTCTCTCCCCCTCTCTTTCTCTCTCCTCCTTGATCTTCTTGTGGGTCATGCGAGGGGACGCAGGGCTTCACCTTTGCCTGAGCCTTCTGCATCATCTTCTTCGCCTGCTTCTCTGCCTCCTCCTGTTGGTCGACAGCACAAGTCAGCGATTCCTACAGCTCCCCCCCTACCCTTTCTCCTCCTCCTCCTCCTCCACCACCACCTGCTCCTGCTCCTGCTCCTGCTCCTGCTCCTGCTCCTGCTCCTGCTCCTCCTGCTCCTCCTGTTTCCTCTCCCCGTCCTCGTCCTCGTTCTCGTCCTCCTTCTTTCTCTCCTCCTGCTCCTGCTCCTGCTCCTGCTCCTGCTCCTGCTCTTCCTTTCCCTCCTCTCTCCCCTTCCTCCTCCCGTCCCCTCCTCCTCTCTCATTATCTATTGTTCTCGTCCTCAATTTCGTCCTTCCCCTCCTTCTCACCCCTTCCCCTTCCCCTGCTCTCTAACCCTCCTCCTCCTCCTTCGTCACCTGCATCGTTCCAGACTCCATCACCGACACGCATCCGATCATCTGCACTCACGGCCATGGGAAACGATCACAGGGGAGCGCAGCAAACCTCTCCCTCTTCTGTCTCGACTTTCCCGAAGAACAGCTGATCCGCCCTGTACCTCATCTTGCTGACCTGGACAGACAGGACACTTGTTCACACAGACAAAGTCTTGTTCACACAGACAAAGTCTTGTTCACACAGATGAAGACTATACAAGACAGCACATGGTTTCTTCACCTTGCAGTCCACCATAGGGTCCGAGAAGCCGTCGACGTGTCCGGACGACTTCCTACCAAACATGGTTGAGGATAAACACTTCAATGTAAGTCGAATGGTCCACCAGATGGAAGGAGAGGCGATGATAGAGCTGTCAAGACCCACCATGTCGTCCCTTCGATGAACCATGTCCCCTTCGAGGAAGAAAGTCAAACGCTGACGTGATATCGCCGCAGGTATGTCGTCGTCGTCGTCGTCGTCGTCATCATCATCATCATCAACAACAACAACAACAGCATCAACGTCCTCCTCTTCCTCCTCATTATCATCATATCATCATCAACAACATTGTCATCAACTCACTCCACCACGTCTTCTTGATGTTCTGCTTCAGCTCCACACCCAAAGGACCATAGTCGTAAAACCCGTTGAAACCTGCACCAATGTCAACCTCTGCTCCTGCTCCTGCTCCTGCTCCTGCTCCTGCTCCTGCTCCTCTCTCTTCATTTCTTGGCACATTCATTATCTCACCATTGTAAATCTCGGAAGATTGGAAGATAAACCCACGGCGTTTGCAAACAGAGACAACATCTTCCATGTTGAACTTGAAGTCAGGGTTGGCAACAACCTGAATATCACCGTTACTCTCCCCGACTTGTAACTCCTCTCTTACCTCCGTCTTCGACTCGCTCTCGGAGTCTGTCGCCACCATACGCGCTTGCCTGCATTGATCTCTCAGCATCGACACGTGAGCAAGAGTCGCAACCCGCAGGGTCGTTTGAGCATGGCTGATCTGAGGGCCAGAGGAGTGAAGCTGGAGGAGGAGCTCCTGCAAGTCATCTCAAACTTCCATGACACGTACCCTTCTCCTGCCACCTTCGCATCGGCGCCAAGGAGGGGGCGAAGGCGAGCCTTGCATTGCGCTTGGCTCCTGCCTCCCGTGTCAGTAGTAAGGAGGTGCATGGATGGGAGAAGGGAGGAAAGGAAGAGAAATGGCGAGAGAGAGGAGCGGCAGCGAGATGCCGGAGAGACAGGAGAGACTGAGCTGCAGCAACCACAAGGAAGACAGTTGGAGGGGAGAGAGGAAGGAGCGCAGGATGAGAATTCACCGGCAGCAATCATAGGAAGGAACGAGCTCATGACAGTCATGAGTGCCAACCGATGAATCTGATAAGAGTCAATCGTCCGCATAGCTTGCTTCATGGTTCCTCCTTCTTACTGTATCTCTTGCTATCAATTATCCTCATTCTTTCGTGCATGTGCATGATCCTCTTCTCTTCATTCTTCTCGCTCCTCTGATCTTGCTTTTCTTGCACCCCTTACCTTCTTCCCACAATCACATCTCCTCCCCTGACCTTCATCAATCGCTACTCTCGCTTTGTATTCTCCTCCTCCTGTTCTTGCTGTCCTGTCCTGTCCTGTCCTGTCCTGTCCTGTCCTGTCCTGTCCTGTCCTGTCCTCTCTTCTCCCTCCCTCTCCTCCCTCAGTTTCGACTCACCGCCATCGGAGGCCGCGCGTCTTTAGAAGGTCAGTGGGGGGATGAGGATATGGATAGATGGACAATGAGGGGATGTGGTCCTGAATAGATCAGTCGATCTTAGCGGGGATGTGGGCTCGACTTGATGTTCAGATCTGACCATGGGGTGGTCGATATGGTCGATATCATACTTAAGTACCGGTACTTTGAAAGGTAAAAAGTAGGGTGAATATGGGGAATTTTCTGATTTAGGGGGTCGGGGTGGGGCGTTGCGTTGCGCTGTCATGGCCGGAGCGTTGCGATTGGATAACGGGGAGGAGAGGAGAGGAGAGAAGAGAGGAGAGGAGAGAAGAGAGGAGAGAAGAGGAGAGAGGAGAGAAGAGGAGAGAGGAGAGAAGAGGAGAGAGGAGAGAAGAGGAGAGAGGAGAGAGGAGGAGAGAGGAGAGAAGAGGAGAGAGGAGAGACGGGTGCAGAGGAAGAGAGAAGAGAGGAAGAGGTGAAAAGGCGAAGGAGAAGGATGCATTGAGAAGTCAGAACAGAGTTATAACACAAGGCTCATTTCATTCATTACTCCCTCTGTTCGAAAAGCTTGTGTCAACCCCTACTGATTCGTTCTCAGGACCAGCCCTCGAAGAGGTCCAGGCGTCGCTCTCGTCTTCTCAAGAATGAAACCAGATATGGACGATGTCCCGCTTGTAGCTTCAGAGGGAGTTGGATCAGGAGGTGTCGGGCATTATTGTTCAGGTGTAGTCTTTTTCAGGACCTTGTCCCTGTTCTAAGTATTCTTTTTGCTACCCTAGGAAAGGTCAACGTCTTTCGACTCCCCCCACCCATACCTGGCAAGGAAGGTGGGGGATACCCATCAGAGTGGCATCACGCCCAGATTGTGATACGGAGAAATTACATGATTCACAAGCTTCGAAATGCCGGGAAGAAGATTCCAGAAGCACAAGACCCAAAAGCTGAGAGCGATCCTGAAGCGCAAAAAGCGAAGATGCGCAAACGAGATCTGATCAAGAAGTATGCTGATTCTGGTCTCAACTTCATCAAGGGCGTGGCGGACAAGGTTTCTCATAACGAAACTCTGCAGAAGACTGCAGGGAGGGTAGGGCATGCCGTGTCTGAAGCGCATGCCTACACGGGAAAGCTTGTCCATGGTCTTGCACACAAGAAGCATGACAAGTCGGGAGAAACAGCAGAAGATGTTCAAGGGGAGGAGGCCAATCGCTACCCAGGTTGGATGATGGAGCGTATCAAGACAGCGTCCATTGGCGTCGGCTTCTTTCTCAAGAGGTCCCCGCCCCCTCTTGTTCTCCTCACATGCTTTTGTTGCCACCCGATCCAAATCCTGCCAAACTTCTTCGCTTCCATCGGAGCTCCTCTGACTTTCTTGTGTCAGGAGAGAGCATGGGGCTCTTTCCTCCGAAACCCCCTTCCAGCTTGCCTGTAAGCAAGAGCGGGTGCAGATCATCGAGATCGCTGCTCGTGACCAGCTGAAGACCACTCATGTGGTGCAGGTTGTTCAATCCTTCATGCTCCCTGTCTTGTTAATACCTGCCTTCAGAACGGGGATGTGTTGAAGTGGATTTTTGCGGCGAAAGCCCATGATGTTGCGTTTCAAGTCAAGATAAGGAAGATGATGGAAGTAGGAGGAGCCAATGAGGAGGTGCTTGTCCCAACAACCAGGGTATGCAACATTTTGAGACGAGATGGAAGGTTGAGCACTTCTGTTGCAGGTCGACAGTAAGAGTATTGCAGAGGGAACGTACGAGGTGACTGAAGCAGGTCAAGTGGTGGTCGTGTTGGACAATTCGTACAGGTAAGATACATTTGGATGTAAAGTGCAACTTCTGTCTTACTTGCCCACCTCCAGTCTGCTTACTTCCAAGACTATCGCCTACAGGACTTGGGTGGAAAAGGCTGCGGAGGTAGAGGGCGGAGCTGCAAAATCTTCTGCATCCGAATCTATCCAGCAGGATGATGGAATCGTTGAATTATCTCCAACTGCAACCGAGGAGGGAAAACCCGCCGCAGATGCTGCGCAAGAGAACTCTGAGAAGGCAGGGGCAGCAAAGCAAGCCGAGGAGGAAGCAGCGGCGAAGAAGGCCGAGGAGGAGGAGGCCGCGGCGGCGGCGGCGAAGAAGGCCGAGGAGGAGGAGGCAGCAGCGGCGGCGAAGAAGGCCGAGGAGGAGGCAGCAGCAGCGGCGGCGAAGAAGGCCGAGGAGGAGGCAGCAGCGGCTGCGGCGAAGAAGGCCGAGGAGGAGGCAGCAGCAGCGGCAGCGAAGAAGGCCGAGGAGGAGGCAGCAGCAGCGGCGGCGAAGAAGGCCGAGGAGGAGGCGGCGGCAGCGAAGAAGGCCGAGGAGGAGGCAGCAGCGGCGGCGAAGAAGGCCGAGGAGGAGGCAGCAGCAGCGGCGGCGAAGAAGGCCGAGGAGGAGGCGGCGGCAGCGAAGAAGGCCGAGGAGGAGGCAGCAGCGGCGGCGAAGAAGGCCGAGGAGGAGGCAGCAGCAGCGGCGGCGAAGAAGGCCGAGGAGGAGGCGGCGGCAGCGAAGAAGGCCGAGGAGGCCGCGGCGGCAGCGAAGAAGGCCGAGGAGGAGGCAGCAGCAGCGGCGGCGAAGAAGGCCGAGGAGGAGGCAGCGGCAGCGAAGAAGGCCGAGGAGGAGGCAGCGGCAGCGAAGAAGGCTGAGGAGGAGGCAGCAACAGAGGAGGCGGACTCGTAAGGAGGTGAGTGAATTGGACGGGGAGGATCTCTTGGTAAGTGAGGAGGAAAAAGATCATCCTCTTTCCGCTGCTTCTATTTTTGATCGTTTGATTTCAGGGAGTTTTTATGGAAATTTCAATTTTGCTTGCATAAATATGCGACATGGGAGGATTCCTCATACATGTACCGGATTTCATCTTTAACCGCCAACATTTGCTAGTCAGTGGTAGGAAAATATTTCAGTGAACCCGCGATTCTACTCTCCCTCAACCCTTTCCACCACCTTGCTCCCTCTTTCCGACCATCCCTGTCTTCTCCTCCTCCTCCCGTCCTCCTCCTCCTCCCGTCCTCCTCCTCCTCCCTTCCTCCTCCCCCCCTCATTTACTCTCGGGAACACGGAACTCTGAGACCCACAGGATGGGATCTGACACAGTGACTTCCACCTCCTCCTCAACGATGCGGTTGGACGTGCTCACAAACGATCCTGCAAGTTCGTCATGTCAAGGATCCACATCGAAACCAGCAGCACCGATCTGAAGTTGACTTTCCCCGTGGATGTCCCACTTCAGCCCGGTCGTCTCGATCTTGCTGGAGCGGGAAAGTCACTCCAGCGGCATCGCGCACGTTCATCTACCGGCATGGCGCGCCCAAGGGGATGAGGCCGCAAGTTGGTCCGAGGCATTCCGTTCGGATCTTGTGCGATCCGGATCGTAGCAGGAAAGCGCTTCGACTGCGAGGAGATCAGAGGAGCAGATCGTTATGAGGAGGGAGGAGGCAAGTTCGACTCACTTTCTCGAGAGGAGCAGGATCTTGATGTCAGGATACCTCGTGACTTGTCAGATGATAGCGGGGAGAAGGCACAACTTACTTGTACAGGACATGGTAGTGAGAAAATTCGTGGTCCAGTCGTCCACCGAAGGCTCCAAGGACTATGACCTGGAAGGACGGGGGAAAGGAGATGAGGAAAGAAAGAGTCGAAGGGAGCAGGGAGGGCACTCACTTGCAGCATAGGATACCCAAGGGAGTTGACGAGGTCCATGCACTTCTCGAGGTCTGTGGTGTCTTGATCCGTATCGTGCACGATCTTGGTTCCTTTCTCAACGTAGTAGTCTTTCACCTTGTCGTCCACAGAGTCCAAATCCCTGCTCAGCAAAATCTTCCCGTTCAGAGCATGCTCGACCATGCAGCGAGTGCAAACAAGAAGCATCACCCTCTGATGTACTCAGGTATGTACTTGCTCCTGTCTTCCTCAAGATCGAAGGACGAGTAGAGCCTGTTGATTGCACCGTCGGCGCAAACACGAACCGACGCGTTGGACCACAGCCGCTCGAGAATCTCCCGTGGCAGTTTGTAGTTGACGAGGATGAGCGCCGGGCCGTTGGGGTCGCTCGTCGGCTGATCCGCAGGCTTCACCAGGGGGAGGAAGTCATGTAGTAAGCTCTCGCCGTGCCCTCCCCGCATGTGCCTGACGCCCTCCTGGAGCTGACCCAGAGCGGGGGCTGATGATGAGGACGAGGCATGCGATGGAGCTCCGCTCATGGTCAACACTATGGATGTGAATAGGAGAGCTTGCATATACGGAAATCGAACATAAACCAAGAAACGTTGCTGTGTTATACTGCCCGATGCAACCAAAGTTTGTGGAACAACCAACCTGCCTCGGCAAGCTCGATCCTTTCAATATCTGCCCCTGCAAGATAAGAAACACTTGAGCAAGCAGCAGAACAGAGCAAGATGGCAGGATAGCAAATCCGACTTTGATCACGACCCTCTCGTCCTCTAACAACCCCTCAACCTTCACCGCGACTCGCATCATCCCTCTCTTTCGCTGTTAGAAATTTCTACGTTTCTACAAGTTTGCATGAGAGCAATCAACCCTGTCTGTGCTCACAGAGTAAACTGAGGAAGCAACTGTATTTGTCAGCTGCTGCTCCGCTTTACGACTGTAGTCTCTGCCTCCTTTCCTCCATCGCGCTCTTGCCCTCTTCCTTGTAACATCATCGTGCCGTCTACAGGAGCATTCATTGCGATATCCTCTCCTCCGTCTCCACTGCTTACCCAGCTCTCTGCCTCATCCTCCACTTCCTCTTCCTCGTCCTCGGGGTCTTTGTCTACCATCGACTTGGCTATGGCTGCAGGCCGAAAACAAACATTGGGGCAGCAGATACCAACTAGTCGCTGCATAGCCGAGAGAATCCTCAATCTGAGGGCAGAAGGTAGTACTGGATCCCTAGATACAATAGTTTACTCATCAAAGATTGAGTTCTGTACTTTGTACCTGTTTCACGATATATATTTATAATTCATTGGCTTTGTGGTACTAATTTGGGGCATAACTGAAACATTTGTACGTCCGAAACAAGTAAGCAAAGCCAATCGTAACGGTTTCCCGCATTTTCCGTTTCTCGTGTAACTGGAAAAATAACGGTTCCTCGTCGGCATGCAACCCACACCTGTCAGGGGCGAGCATGCCGGGCGCGAGGAGGGGGAGGAGGAGGAGAGCAGAGGTTCCATCCTTCCCGCCTCCTCCTCCAACGGACTCAAAGCTGCATCGCAAGACCCGTCAAGATCCGTGCACGAGGACGTCCACATGTTACACTTCGTCAGTCCTGTAAGACCCGCCGATGGCTTGCCGCTCGTCTGATGTGGGTTTCATGGACAGGGGGCTGGGAGCACGCTGATGCCTAGCAGTCACACCCACAATCAGCCGAGTGATGGCCCTGAAGCTCTGAACTCATGCCTTCCTCGAGGTGATTGGAAACTGATGTGACTGTCACGATTTCACTGGATTTTAACTTTTCGCTCTCTCCCTCTCTCCCCTTTCCTTTAGGTAATGCTGGCAAGACTGAACGCCAAATGTATCCAGTCCCTATCGACTTGACGGACGAGTCTGATACAATACTTCTGCCCGTCGACGAACCCCCGCACGCACCACAACCCTCACTGGGATCGAATCGAGCGGATATATCAATCAGAGAGGAGGTGACACCACAAAGACTCTCACAGACAGCATACACACCAACCAACGCCACAGCTCGTGTTTCTCCGCAAGATTCTTCACAATCGTCCAAGCATACGGACTTCCCGACTCCTTCCTACTCCAGTGCTTCAGGCGCTCATGCTGTCTCTGCTGCCTTAGCCAGTCCAACCAAACAAGCTCCTACGACCGGCAGCACAACAGCGACAGCTCCCCATCCTCCAGCCGCTGCTCAATCACAAACCGGCGGGCCCACGATCTCACACCCAGTGACTGCGATACCAGCAGGATCAAGCCAAGTTGAGCACAAGATCCCCTCGTCGTCTGTCCCTGCACAAGTCAAGAAAGAGCCCACAAACGCGAATGCGAACTCCCCTGTCCTCTCAGCTCCCGCTCAGTACATTTCGCATGGTATGGCCCAAACTCCATCGCCGTATGGCTCATCGGACAGGAGCGCGATCTTTCATGCCCCTCCCCGTCAAGTTGTATCAAACACTGCCATGCAACAAGTGGCCCCGCGAGCATCGAATCCTCCTATCTACAATGTAAGTCCCTGGCTGTATTGTCTACCCTCTTGTCTCCCGGGCTGAATCAAATTGAAGTCTCAGCATCCTTTATCTTTCATGCTCGTCAGTGACACTTCTTGCTATCCCCTCGCAGCTTCCAATGCCATATCAGTATTCCTTTCCTGGCTCTGCTCATACGGTGCGAAACATCCTAGCTCCTCCTGAGAACCTGACCTTGCCACAGAACAACTACGTGTTCCCAACCATGCAATCAGCGAGCACACCACCAGCTGTCAAGTCAGAGCAGGTGGATATGACGCAATGTTATTGTTAGTTCATGACATGCTGTGAAAGGCAAAGGTGGTGGATATGCCCATTGCCCATCCTGTGAATTGGATGAAAGAGAAACAACTGTGGTTTTCCAGTGACATGAAACCCGCCCAGCTCTTGCAAAACAAGCTCACGATTCTTAAACATCAGCAACAGATGTTGTCGAGACAGTTTGGTGCGTTGAAGGCCAACATTCAAAAGTTCAGAGAGCAGGTGGGACGATGCCCGCTGAGCGGGAGGAGTGACGGGTTTCAAACCGAGATGGATAAAGTACTGGGACAGAAAGATGACAAGCGCAAGAATGATCTCATCAGTCTCTTCAACCTCATGAACGATGACATGAAAGGTTTCATTTCCTTGATGTCTTCAGCCGAGAACCTGCAGGACAGACTCTGTGTGATGTCCATCTTAGATGCTGACCTTGACTGCTTGTCAAACATGAACAAGGACAAGAAGTGGCTGAGTGTGTTCATCGACAACGACGGGCTAGTCCCCCTTGCCAAGTGGGTGGAAGGAGACGTCGACGACAATCTCTTGACTAAGATCCTGGACGTGATGCTGCAAGTCAGCATGGAGGGAAAATCAGCCGCTCTCCTGTCACGATCCAAGTTCTTTGTCAACCTGAACATCCCCAAGGACAAGCCTGAGCTGCGATCAAAGAAAAACGTGCTGAAGCACAAGTGGAAAGGAGAGCTGCCGGATCTGTCCAACGCCAAGAAGGAGGATGCGCCCGAGGTGAAGAAGAAGGAGAAGGAGAGACCCAAGGAAGTCAAGACTGAAGTGAAGGGATCGAGCGTTAAGGCTGAGAAGCCGTTGTCGCCCAAGACGACGAGCGCGTCGCAATCGAAGAACAAGGACGAGGACCTGTTCAAGGGGATGTTCGGCAGCAAGAACAAGAAGGCTGCGCCCAGTGTGCCTGCCCCGAGCACGATGCGAATGACGATGTCTGAGAGGACTGCCGTCATGGACGACGAGATGGTGATATCGGACTCTCGAGGTCAGAGCTCGAGCTTGATTGACAAGCTTCGGAGCAAGGACGGCGACCCTGCTGTGCAGAAGGAGGAGGACAAGGACAAGGATGGACAACCCCGCAAGAGGCCCAACGATCCCCTTCCCCTTCCTCTTCCTGTGCTGGAAAGCTCGAAGAGTACGGGGGAGGAAGAGCCGCAGAAGAAGAAGAGAAGAGTGCGTCATCTCATCTTAGCTCTCCTCGCCCTTATCTCCCCTTTGCAGATCTCCTGGGCACCCGACGACAAACTCTGCGAAGTGCAGATGTGCGTTATTGGAGGAGGAGGAGGAGGAGGAGGAGGAGGAGGAGGAGGAGGAGGAGGAGGAGGAGGAGGAGGAGGAGGAGGAGGAGGAGGAGGAGGAGGATTGTGCGCTGCTGCGTTGATTCTCCTATCCCCTTATCTTCCGGCCTCTGAGAACCTTCCCGTAGTCCCTCTCTTTTTCTTC